AATTGCAGATCTGTGTCTTTTGATTTGCTTTACGCCACCTGGTAGACCTATTCTCACTAATTAAAAAATATCCACAGAAATTATTGTAATTGCAAAGAGAATCTGGTTCTTATTAAAAAATGACAGAGAGAGAGAGAGTTCATTTTCATATCACCATGGCGATGTTAAAAGAATGTTTTATGCAAACCCTAGTTATTAAAGGGGAGAGGATGGTGAATGCAATGTCCTAACAAGAGTAGCTGAAGCACGTGTGTGTGTGTGTGTGTGTGTGTTGTTGAGTGAGTGATTCACATCACTGCTCATCTAATCTCTCAAAGTGTCAGAGTTCCATCACATGGGAGGATAGGAGGATGGGAGAAAACCAGGGAGGGAGGGGCTGTGCATTTGGTTCAGATGTTGGGGGGAAAAAGGCTAGTCTACACGGGGCTTTCTTCACAGACGACTGCATGATAATCCCAATCTGTGGTTTTAAGTGCAGTGAGAGAACAGAGAGGAGACCGTTCATCAGTGGGGGGGTGTATGTGTGAGTGAGACAGGAGAGGGCTGTGAGAGAGAGGGAGAGAGAGAGAGGGAGCTTTTAAGGGATTTGAAAGTGATTTGTAGAATCTCACCGCAGTAATGTGCTGCTTTTTCTCCACTTTTTTCTAACTCTGCCACAGCACTGCGCTCCAAAGCCTCAAAAGTCACTTTAATCAGCTCTAGCAGTTTTTGACGACTTTTGGGATGAGAGATAACTTGGTCTTGACGAGGAGAGGAGCGTCTTGCCTCTTGATATAGAATCAGAATTTGTGGCCATGGACCGATGTCTGGTGATTGATGGACCAAAGCGTGAAGGAAGAGGCATGGCCAGGTAAGAGAAGCCTTTTTAAAGAACAGTTTGTAGATTAGTGATGTTATAATTATTATTTGTGTTGGAAAAGTTAATCTTCATTACATGCATGTAAATGTCAGACGTTACTAACATCAAAGCGTCATGAAACCAATGTCCCCAGTGGTTCCACACTGGGGACATTTTAAAAAAACCATACCTGTTATGCTTCCTGTTGAACTTATTTAATAACCTTACTGATCCTCTCTATGCAGATATAATTAATTCACCCAAGCTTCTGGAGCATGAAATGCTTAGAAGGCTCACTTGGTGTTTCTGTTTTGCAACATTTATAGTGTTTCTAACACTGACTCTCAGCTCCTTGTGATAAAAGCACTGCACCTCCTGTATTTTATCATGGGTTTTTTTATTTAATTTGATTTCTATTCATCAAAACAGATATAACCTTAGAGCTGTGGTCTTGCTGAGAGATCCTTCAGCTCTGGATTAGTAAACTGTTACCTTCTAAGAAAATCATTTTCTTAGTCTTGACCTCATGGCTTCACAGATCCATTAATGCAGCTACTGTTACAATATCAGGTTCTGCATGGACTCCATTATGGTCAAACCAATAAAGATAAAGTTTTCAGATTTTAAATAAATGATTGTTTTTGGAAATACTTTTGGATTAAAAATACAAAACACGGCGGAATATAAATTCTTAAATACAAAAAAAATCAATGAACAAAATTATTGTTCAGTAATTCAAAAACAGCCCAGGGCCTCTGGCTCTGCTTCAGATACTGAGATAAGGTTACTTTCACATGCACCTCATCCTAACACATTATTCCACCATATGAATTGTTAAATTGTTCATTCAGGTTTGGACAGATTTCTACAAGTATTTCAATATTGGATTGAATTCTGTTATAAAGGAATGAGTTTGTTAAACATTAAAGTACTTAAAAATGGATCACTGGTACATATTATAGTCACTGCTATGAATGGTCTGCATGTGTATTGACAGAGAAAAGAAAGAGCCTGGAAAAGTAAAAAAAGAATTGAGCTTAAATTTTCTGAAAGTTATTCTCCAATTTGGGCACCATTACTTTAAAGTTAGATAAAAGAAACCAACTAAAGACAAGAATTACATAAAATAGAGGTGGATTATCTGGAATGTAACCTTCAACAGGCCCTCAAGGCTGAGGTTTACAATAATAATAATAATAATAAAAACATATAATTTTGAATGTAAACCTGTTGGTAAAATCTGTGTTTGAATAGAAAATAGAACCCAAAAAATTGTCAAAAAAACCCCAAATGATCATAATGAAATTCTAGACAAAATTAGGGAAATAGAAAAAAAAATAATGCAGAATAGCATAAACATTAGCCAGAAGCTAAGAAAATGACATAAATACATTTCAGTTCAACGTCATTGTAGACCACTGAAGCAAACGTCTGTAAAACACTCCTTTTCTGCTTTTGTCACCAGGAGTAAAGAGTAGTGACCTGGTGCTGTCAGTACCTCTGCTGGTCCTCATCATGACGTCAGAGGTCCAATCATCAGATGGACGGGTCTCTTTATCATGGAGACACAGGACACGCTGTGGACTGTTGTGGCTGCTGCTGCTGCTGGGCATCAGTGCCAGATCCTGGGCGCAGCAGGGAACTCAGCCTCAGTCCATCAAGATCGAAGGGGACATCACACTGGGCGGTCTCTTCCCCGTCCACTCTCGAGGGCCCGTTGGTGTTCCCTGTGGGGACGTTAAAAGAGAAAAGGGTATCCACCGTCTGGAGGCCATGCTGTACGCTTTAGACCAGATCAACAGTGACCCGGACCTTCTGCCTAACATCACTCTTGGTGCTCGTATACTGGACACCTGCTCAAGAGACACCTACGCCCTGGAGCAGTCCCTCACCTTTGTCCAGGCCCTCATTCAGAAGGACACGTCTGATGTTCGCTGCTCAAATGGAGAGCCCCCCATTATCCCTAAACCAGAGCGGGTGGTCGGGGTGATTGGGGCGTCTGGCAGCTCAGTGTCCATCATGGTGGCCAACGTTCTCAGGCTGTTTTCGGTGAGTTTTCACATACACATACACACACTAACTAACCCAGAACTATTTTTACAGTGGCTCTATATAAAACACCAGAAGGTGGCAGTAATGTCAGTTCTGTTGGACATCCCAAAGAAGAGAAAGCAGCTGTGGATGTTAGTGGGGTTAGCTTAGGGCTGCATTGGTACACTGCTAGCATGCTGCTTAATTGCTACATATTAGCAGGCTGCTAAAACAATAGATTCTCGCAGAACTATATCACCCAAGTAAGGAAATGTGGAAACAATTTTAACCAAGTTTACAGGATTTGTTTTCTTAGAAAAATGCCCTGGTAGAACAGTGCTTTCAAATGCGTACTTGACACCACCTACAGGCCACTAATATGCAAAACATTGACGAACACAAAATACCGTAATAACTAAACCAAATTGCAGTTTATCCTATAAAGCTGGTGTGCTAAACTCCTGGCTCAGGGGCCACTTCTGGCACATAAACATCCCACATCTGGCCTGTGACCAGATATCAATATATATTTAATTTCTAATTTATGTTGCCAATTTTAAGGTTAATTAAAAAAAAACCCTAAAACATCTTAAATGTTTTTTGTGAGCCTTATATAAAATATTTAATCACAGCAATGAATTTAAACACAGTATCTTTATTTAAGGAGCTCAAATTATTCTAAATTGTATTCAGAATTATCAAACTATCAGTAGCAGCGGGGTGTGAAGTCTGCTGTTGACACTCACACGATTCAAGAACTAAGGTGTGGATGAATAGGGATTGACAACTCCAGTAAAACAGTTGTTTTGTCACCTGATCCTAACACTCATTGTCTGGTGTTTCTGCTGCGTACAGTAACTCACTTGAAGTCTTACCACGTTTCCTGACCATCTTTTCTATCGTCTCCAAAGCTCCCTCAAACATGATGGTGTTGTGGCAGTGATATACGTCAGGGCTGCGTGCAGGCCAGTCACGAACACATCTGTATGGAGAAAGTTGTTTTTCAGTTTCAAAGTTTCCTTCCAGTTTTTTGACAAAGATATGAGTGACACACAGTTCTACTGCTGACTCCAGATGGGTTTCTTTCAAATTCTCCTCGTCTTTCTTGTGCTTCCTCACAGTTTTCCCACTTCTACTTACAGTGAAGCTTCCTCACCGGAACACCGAAGTCTGGAGTCATTTGAATAATAGGACTAAAATGTACTTCTCAAAACAAACCGTGAAGCAAATATTGCGCGTCAAGTCCACGTCATCTCTCTTTCTTACCGTTCAGGTTGTCCCATATGTGTCACTCCATGTGAGTTTCAGTTTCACTTCTCCAATCTCTGTAGTTGGCGGTTTCAGGAACTTTCTGTCTTGTATTTAGTTTTTTCCACTTCTTTATAAATGTACAGACTATTCTTGGTAAACTGATGGTCTTTTCTGAGTAGATAACTAAAGTTGATAATGTCCTTACTTATAGTTGTTTAATTGGTTTAATTTGAAAAAAATAATATATTATGTCTTTTTTAATCATAATAATAATTTTAGCAAATGGATTTTGTATTTTGTAGGTTTTAAGATATAAAACCTTTAATAATCTTTCACGTTATTTAAAAATACCAAAACATCTCAACTAGCATTTCTTCTATACACATACAGTATATCTTCTATTATTGGTGAAACCCACAGAAACATCCACCTGTAACTGGGTGCCTGTAGCAGAAGATAACCATGTATTTTGTGAATATTAACCATTTAAAGATAGATTCATTACAAGTGCATTATTTTCTCCTACTAATTTCTCACCCAGGTCATTTAAATGGATACAATCGTTGAAATGAGCATCTGTATGTCACTGCATTTTCCTGAATCCATTCCATTTGTATCATCGGACTAATCCCTGCTATAGTTTCAGGGTACAGTTACTTCTTTACTGGATGACTGACCTGCTTTAATTCATCACGTTGCTTACAGCCAGGGACATGGAGTCTATGTAAATCCCATAGGTTGTATATACGACTAATATATATGACTATTTCAAAATACAGTAATAGACAACATCAGAAGGATATGTTACTATAGTAATCGCTAAGATAAGCTAAGAGTTAAGCTACAATATTTTTACCCCCCCCCCCTTCAAAATTAGCTAAAGAAAACTATATTTTTTTCCTCTGCCGGGGGTCATCACAGCAGTATTGCACACTGTAGTTTTTATAACAAACCAATTACTGTGTCTTTTCTGTAGCACAGTAGATGGAACTAAATCCCTTCTGTATGACGGATGGGAATTTCACCACTGCACCACCTGTGCAACCAGCTGAGAACAACAATATTACAACCATTAGAACCTTAACCAAATACCAAATTGCGGAACGTTAGCTAAAACCTTTTTTTATTCTTAGTTTTTAAACAAATCATTATCTTTTTACTTCAGAGTTGGTGTGAAGACGAATCCTTCAACTTGTTACTGTCTTTGCACAGAGTCCAGTAAAAGCCAAGGAGAGGAGGCCTGCATCCAGGGCAGATGTTAACTATAGAATTAAAGAGCCCTGCTGCCACTAAGCCCCTCTCAGCAGATCAGACCTCAGGCTGAAAATAGAGCATGAGTGCAGGAGTAGAACAACGCTGGTTGTGGATAACAGGAATATTACGCCAGTGTGACATATAAAGTGATCTGGATGCTGATGTTCCCATGTTCTCCCCACGTGTCCTGCTTTAGAGACGGTGAAGGCTCCTTCACCTGGATAAATTAAACATCAGCTCTGAACCGCAGCAGCAGTCGACGTTGTCTTATTACTGACATGATAACTTATTTATAACTTATATATATATGTCATTATAGTAACAGTTTCTCTTTTTGAGTTTCTATGTTTTGGATTTGAATAGGATGCTAATTAAAATAACCAAAATTCAAAGAATGTTTTTTGGTCCATCATAATGATAAATCTAGTATATATTTTCAGATTATTTAATTAAATGAATCCCTAATTCTTAACGAATATTTGGCTAAAACTGACTATTTCACTATTTCTGCCTAACCTTCAGCCAACTTTAAAGCTTTTTGACCAATGTCCTGACTCTTTATTTTTATTTTCTTTAAGATTATTTGACTTTTAATTTTTTTTTCACTCACTGTCACTTCATTCTGCTCAAACATGAGGCAGGTTTCTGGGAAACCTTCAGGGTTTTCTCTATATTTTAATAATTTAAATGAATAATAATGAAAGAATATTTTTTGTGTGTGTGTCAGTAGTTAGTATTGAAGCGTAGCACAAATTGACAGGCTGCTGTGATTCTCCAGCTGAGGTTTCGCACATGTGTTTTGTAAACATGGACGTGACAATTGGTGCAAAGAAACACCAGGCTGATGCTGCTGGGGAGCAGATGAGACAGAGGTCAAATTTTTGGTCTGTGACCATCGACAATTATCAGACGATGGCGATGACATCAGGAACAGGGGAAGGAAACAAGAACTCCAGCAGAGAACCTTTACCAAACATGAAGATGATTGGTTTTAGATGTGTGTTGAGTTCATGACTCGCTTCAGTAATAAAAAGCTCCGTGCTGCAGCTAGTTGAGCAGGTGAAGGACACCATGCTGATTGACAGGGAGGGGCTGACTGAAGGGTGTAGTTATGAAGAGCTTGACATTTTAGCAATTAACTGTAGATAAATCATTTAATTACATTTTGAGAATTTAATATTAAAGGACTGTGTGATTGTGGGCTGCACTTTCTTAGTGTCATCAGGGAAGTTGTTTAACACAACACTTTTTACTACATTCAATTCTTTTTCCAATTGTATTTGTTTATTGGCATTTTTTTATTTATTATTACTGATTATTTCAACAGTGAAAGTGGGTAAAACATTTTTCTAATTATAATTTAAAACAGTAGAGCAGTACTAAATTATGAGGACTGGACTCTGAGGAATAGAAAAACCTCTGCTGAAGAGTAACCTCTGAGGCAGACTGGAATCAACCTGAAGAAGAATGGCACTCCCTTCACTGTAAAACACTAAAGTGGAAGATCAGTGTTGTGGAGATGTTTGGAGAAGATGGAGGGAATTATGGATAAAGATGAATAAAATACAATATCAATAAAAACCTTAGGGAGGCAGCCCCAAAGTTTGGTGACAAACTTGTACAACTCCATGAATTAAATTTCATTAAATGCCATGTACATGTGGAGCTAACTGCAGACCAGGGTCCATGTCAGGTGACCGTCAAATCCAGAGAGGATTGAGAGGTTATCCAAAAATTGTGAGGGACACCTCAGGACAGGGATGTACAAGTGGCTAAAACAAAAAGTCTGGCTCAGGATCAGCGGGCTTAAAATTTGACCTTGTTATTATTTTTAGTTTTAATGAAAGCTTCCTAAATTAGGCCAGTATGTTCACAAATGCTTTGTTAGCAGTTTATTGTTCTGTGTAACACAGTGGGAAAGTGCATCACGAAACACATTTGAATTTCTTTATGGTATTAAAATATTTTAGTTGTCAACAATTATAACTAATTTAATGACAAAAGGGATGTTTAATTATCCTCACGGCTGCACTTCCTGTCCGTAGCTCCATGAACCCCCCAAGGAGGCTGAGACTCTTACTGCCAGCGAG